TACTTCTCTCTTGTTTTACCGCTATATAATTTTTCAATGTTATTAATTTGTTTTATTTATTTCATATATTTATTTGGGTTTTCACTTTTTTTCTTAATTTAATTTTATATATTTGTATTTTGATGTTGTTTTATTTTATTAATATTTTTATAATCAATTTGATTTTATTTGATTATATTTTTTATTTTATTTTTATTTCCTTCTTTCCTTTAACTCATATTATTTTTTTATTTTATGTTACGTTATTTAATTTTATTCTTTTCTGTTTTAGTATATCATATTCATATTTTGAATTTTATTTTATTTATTTAAAATTTTTAATTTATTTATTTTATATTTTATTCATATACATTTTATTTAATTTAACCTTATATCTCTGCTAGTTTATTTTAATTCTATTTTATTTAAACTTCTTTATCTCTTTCTATTTGACGTTGTTAAATTTTTTATATTTTTTTATTTCGTTTTGTTTATTTCGTGAATCTGTTGCTTTATTACATAAATCTCTCGGCGTTAGAAATTCAGAAATTATCAATTGAAGAATTTTCGCATGTGTATTTCTTGCATTATAGACGTATGTATGTATATGTGTGTATGCACGTTCTTATGTACTCATACGCCAGTGGGCCCTAAAACGAGGTCAAACCGCCCATCCGGCCGGTTGCATACCGGCAACGCGCAAAAAATTGTACAATTGTTCTTTTTTTTCATAGTATATAGTATGCATCTATACTTATACATATGTATGTACATACATATGTTTGCGCTACTGAGTCTAGTCGTAAAAATTACGTCCATATTATTGCAGAGATACATACGTGTATGTATGTATGCACGAGTATGTACTTACGTGCTCACTTGCTCAAATCCATCAACGCGAATGAATATGCCGAGCACCTAAACAACAACAAATTTAAAGAATGTAATAATATTATTTATAAAAATAAAGCAATACATATAACAACAACAACAATGTTAATTGTCTCCGCGTGATCGCAAATCGCAATCTGTACAACGCGCATGCCACTCTCTTGCGTCTAACTGTCAACTGGTAAAGTCAAGCGCCAAAATACTCAATCTCTTACACAGTGTACGCGCTTTTATTTTATGCCTGTCTCTCGATCTCTTTGTTCTTAATACGTAGCCATACATACATACATATGTATACATATATGTATGTATTGAGGATATGAAGGCGTAAGTAAAATTAAAAAAGAAGAAAAAAAATTAACAACAATAAAATTGAAATATGTAAAACATAGCACAGCACAGCTGGCGATGGAATGAAGTGGAAACTAACAAAACAAACAAAACGTCAAAGAACTTTTTCGCAAATTGGCCTTTCGGGTGTACCGCTTACCCCACCAGCTAAATGTTCTGCGCGCTGCGCTTGACAAACGCCACGACGTCGACGCGAGCGTCGCTGCAAAACAAGGCAGTGACGTCGACGTTAACGCCAGCATTAGATTTAATTATTATTTATTTTCTACATATGTACATATGTACATATGTACAAATATACAGCGCGCAAAGGCAGCCGGCAGCAGCGCATCGTGTTGGGCGCTTGTAACGAACTTTCTTAGTATGAAATTTGATTTTGCTTTTTGCGATTACGTTAGCACGTACGTTGCGGCGTCTGTCGTTTGTGACTTTTGTGTGTTGTCTTTGTTGCGTTGCTTTAATTCTAATGTGTTTTTACAGTACTTTTAGCTGTTGCTTTCTTAGCATTGTTATTGTTGTTGTTGTTTGTACTTAAGATAATTTTGTAGTGTTGTTACTTGTTGGGTTTTTTTTTTATTTATGATGATTACGACAATGTAGTAGCAAAATTTGAGTGCCTTTTCCATAATGTCCGGGTGTGTGTGTATGCATATGTGTGTGTGTATTTACTTTAGTAATTTTTTGTGTTCTTTTTTATTTTTTATTTTCTTTTTGTGCGCATTGTACTTGAATTCTTACAGTTTGGGGTGGCGACTAATACACGGTATGCGCTTGCGAATAAAATATGCAAACATTTATCGCGCATTATGTGTTGGTTGGTTCGCCGTTGAATATTTTTGTGTAAACATACATACATATTATATATTTAGTTTAATTTCAGTTACAGTGAAACCTGCTTAATTGTCGCACATAAAATATATGTAATGTATAATCTACATCCTCTGTCTCTGGATGGTTGGCGTAGCTTTTGCCCTTAACACCTTCCCACAAAATTTTATCCAGCAGGCGCATGCTAATCAAAATTAGCTGCGAAGCGGCATGTCGTGAATGTCATGCTCTTCAGTATTTTGGAAACGAAGTCAACGTTGCCGACGCTCCAAACAGGCACTAGCTGGGAAGCATTGGCTATTTAATGGTTGCATGTGAGTAACATGAGCTTTATCGGAAATGATGATTTTCGAAAAAAATACTCATATTCTGCTCAGCGATCTTCAGCCCATTAAGCGAAACGAAATCGTTTCGGATGGTCATGGGGCTTCAGTTATTGGACTAAATTGAATTGTAATAGAGTGGTTTTTGGGTAAAAAGTATCCTTATAATCTACTGGGCCACGGAATTTAGACATTAATCAGCAGAACACAACCAATCTTAGAACGTATAATTCTTGTAAAGACCTTCCAAAAATGGTATAAAAATACTCGTAGGCTCATTTGCTTGCTTCGTACTTAAAAACTGTCAGACGAGTATTGAATATTCAGTTCCACCCGCACTTATTATTCCTTATTATTTACATTTATGCAAAATTATGCAGTTGAGCATTATTTAAAATTGCATGCTTTAGTTTTGACCAATTCAGAATTTATATAACTCCACTGAATATCTGTAAAGGGTACTTCTAACCCTACTTTTTTCAAGCTCTAAATAATTTTATTTTAAGTATAGAATAATACATTTCATTAATTTGGAAGATACATACATACATATGTACATCCTTCGGTATTTTCGAAAATGATGACAAATATTAATGAAATTAAAAAATTATAATAGTGAATATATTTTAAAAGGCAAGCCAAATCCAAAAACTTTTGTGTTGCTGTAATCTGCTTTTTAGCTATTTCGTAATTTAATTTTTTTTTTAACAGAAATATGAACTCGCTAACAAGTATGTGCAACTAAATGAAAAGAAGCACATGCATATATACACATACGTACATATATGCATATTTTCCCATAATTACTCCCTCCCATGTTGTTGCTTTTCAATTTCAATTGCATCTATGTAGACATTTCCTGCCTCCTTCCTTCTGTTCTTCAACTCCGCTTAGATTTAACATTATTTCATGGAACTTATATGCATACATACATTTGTGTATAAATACATACATATATGTTTATTTCACTTTATTTAATTTCTTGCCAATAATTTAATTGTCAGCTGATTATTCCTTTTCACATTCACTTTCCACTTGCACAGCAGCGTGCACACGCACACTCGCATACGTAACAGCAAAAGTTACGAGTAATAAAAATAATATTTATGTATGTATGTATTTATGTATGTAGATATGTATATTCTTGCACTCACCATACGACTTTCGTTTTCATTTGACTCTCGATCGATCGGCTGACCAATGTCGATTGCTTTCGGTATTTGCCGGCGAATGAAGTAATTATTGAATTAATAGTAGCTATTTGGTTGTGGTTATTGTTTTTGTTGCTGCATTGATTGTCTTTGTCATCCACAGACGTGTGGCGCGCAGCGCAATAAATCTGTTTTTTTTTTTTTGTTTGTTATTGTTATGTATTACTTGTTATTGTTTGCCGGGCTTATTACCTCATACTAAAGGGGAGAGCGCTACCGATGTATATATGTATGTATGTACATTTAGATGTGTGTATTTTTTCACGTTCGCGGAGAAATATTTATAATAAAATAGATTTGCGTAGATAATTTTTTATGTTTTATCTTTGTTTTGCTTTATTATGCTTGTTGAGCAAAATCGAGCATTACTTTAAAATTTCTTTATTCATTTATGTGTGAGTGGATATTGTCATTTCCTCTCTTTGTATTTATTATGAAATAATCGCGTGACTTTTTTGTTCTTGTTTTATTTAGTGTGGTGTATAAGAAAGAGAAAGGTCAGGGTCGCAGAAATTTTCCCATAAGTAAATTTTGTTCATTGTAATGAAATTTTGTTTTTAAATTTTTTACATTGAAAATATATTTAAAAAAAAAAACATACATATATTTTTTATTTTGTTATATTGTATTTGATTTTATTTCTTTTACTTTCATTTCGTTTCGCTTCATTTTAGTTCACCTTTTTATTTATTTTAATGTAGATATTTCATTTTATTTAAATTTATTTTATTTTGCGCTAGTTTCTTGTGATTATTTTCTCTATTTATTGTACTTATTTTACTTTTTTTTTGTTGTATTTTATTTATAGTTCCTTATGTTGTACTTTATTTTAATTTTATTTTACTTTATTTATATTTTGTTTAATTTATTTTTCGGTTTTAGCTTATTTTTATTTTATTTGATTTAATCTTATTTTATTGTGTATTATATTGATTGAATTTTATTAAATTAAATTTTATTTTATCCTATTCTTTTAACTTTTTTATTTTATTTTATTTCAATTAAATTTAATTAATTTATATTCAATCTTTATTCATTGGTATTTTAATCTTAATTTAGTTTATTTTACTTTATTTTATTGTATTTTATTTCTATTTCCATTTGTCTTACATTTTTTTTATTTATATTTTTTATTTTATTTATTTTTATTTTTTTAATATATTCTTTCTTTGTTTTATTTTATTTTTATTCTATTTGATTTTACCTGATTTTATTGTATATTGTTTTAATTATATTCCATTTTATTTCGTTTTTCAACTTATTTATAATAAATAAATCTGCATCCGCCCGCTGATAGCGCCGATGAAACCGCACATAAAATATATATCTCTCCTCTGTCTTATTCTCGATTTTTCATAAATTATAAAAACTAGCAGATTTATTCAATAGTTTTTAATAATTATTATTTTCACCACAGATACAACACTGACCAAGGAGCTATGGACCAGCAATTCTGTCTACGCTGGAACAATCATCCGACAAACTTAACTGGTGTGCTAACCTCGTTGCTGCAGAGGGAGGCACTCTGCGATGTGACGCTGGCATGCGACGGTGAAACAGTTAAGGTAATTTAAACATAAATATACACACTCTGACAAATACTCATGCTCTTTACCTTCAATCCAGGCGCATCAAACAATTCTATCAGCATGCAGTCCATATTTCGAAACCATATTCCTGCAAAATCGCCATCCACATCCTATCATCTATTTAAAAGATGTCAGATACTCAGAAATGCGCTCCCTGCTCGACTTCATGTACAAAGGCGAAGTCAATGTCGGCCAAAGTTCGCTGCCGATGTTCCTCAAAACAGCTGAGAGTCTACAGGTAAGTCGAAATACTAAAGACATAAAGTATTCATTCGTTTTTTATTATACAAAAATTTTCTCTTCGCCAGGTTCGTGGTCTTACGGACAACAACAACCTCAACTACCGCACGGAACATCGCGATTCGCCTGTATCCTCGCCCACCGGCCGCACGCCATATAGTAGCAGCGGTCTTGGTGGCGGTGGTGGCAGCAGTGAATGTGAGCCACGCGAGCGTGAACGTGACCAACAGCATCGTGGTCGTGCCACAGAGCGCGATATGCGCGACGAAATGCATTCACATCGCAGCAGCAGCAGTTTGAGTGAGCGTAATGCCGCCGCCGCAGCGGCAGCTAGTGTGGGTGCCAGTTTACAATCTGCCGCTGTTGCTCTGGGTTTAGGTGAACGTTCACCGTTAACAGCGGCTGCTATGGCAGCTGCAGTGGCTGCAGCTACACGTAGTGCCAGTGCTGATCCTCTTGGTGGTGGCTCAACGAACACGGGCTGCAGTGGTGCCGGTGCTGGCATGTTAAATAGCCGCAACAGTGATGTGAATAGTGAGCGGTGCATTGGTGGTGCAGGCAATGGGGGTAGTGGCGATCGCAGTAGTAGCATTGGTCGTGAACGCGCCGATAGTCGTGATGAACTCATGCAGCTAGACTATAGTAACAAGGATAACAGAGACCGTGATAGAGAGATGTCTACTACACCGGTGGAGCATATAGGTAGTAATAAGCGAAGACGTAAGAACTCATCCAACTGTGATAATTCGTTGACCTCGACGCATAACGCAAATGTACAGGACAGGCAGTACACTCAGGATTCTCAGGTGAGTAAGGCATCGAACCAGAGCGAATAGCTCACTCACATCGATAAACTTTTTTTAAAAGATCCGCAAAATCACGAAAAACGATCGATGCAGTATATATCTATCGGCTTCCTTAGCTATTTTAGCTTTACATTTCAGAGTGAGATATCTCAGATAATTAAAGATACTCCATTCAAAAAGCAACTACTTTCTGTTTTAAACATTCTATTATCTGCTAAAAAAAATTGTGGTGATCGCAATCTCCCATGACCCCTTGGTGGTTGTTTCTAGTCAACAACACGCGCTAATTTCTTTCGAAGCCAAAAACAGAATTCCTTATCAATTTCTAATGATTTTCGAGAATATGTGGTGAAATTATACTATCTATTAGGTTTAACAAATTATAACAAAATATGTACAAAAACAGATAACCCGGTGGCTGTGATTTACTCTTCATTTGAGTATTTGATCTCGTGTTTGGATTACGGAGTCTATACCCTATTGCTAACTGTTTGACATAATTTTCCGTAACAAGCGTTCTCTCTCTCATATTTTTCTTTTTTCCCCCCATATTCACCTCTTCCACTTCCAACACCTGCAGGCATCCTCACGCAGCAATTTCAAATCAAGTCCCGTACCAAAAACCGGCAGCACATCTGAATCGGAAGACGCCATCGTCACAGGTATTGGCGAGCGACACGATTCACCATTATCCGCCAGCCAATTGAGTCTTGTTGGTGCTGGTGGAGGCGGAGGCAGTGGCGGCGGTTTAGGTGGTGGTGTCGGTAGCGGTAGTGTTGGTGCGATTCCCAGTAGTATTGGTCTCAGTCATGCGCTTAGTATTAAACAAGAATTAATTGAAGCACAACAACAGCAACAACAACAATTACAGCAACAACAACAGCAGCAGCAACAACGTGAGACGCATGTACCTTTACCAACTGATTATTTGCCGGTAAGTTAAAATAATGAAAATGATTATAATATTGTATGTCACATATACATAGCTAAGTAGAATAGTTCTGAAGCATCAGAAAGATAAGTGTTTATTTAGTACATCTGTTTAATATATGTGTCCATCATCTGATAGTATAAAGAAAATATTTGAAAACATGTTGATAGATAATATTAACGAAAACAAATAAAAAAATATATTATTTTTATATACATATAATAATGTACATATGTATATGTATAAATGACTTGCCCATTCATTGCTATAAATCATAAATAATGCAAGGAATTCGTAGTCTTTCTGGAAATAAATCAATCGAGTCGTGGTGTGGATCTTTTGGTTTCCCAACTTCCTTCGGCTTCCGAACAGTTGCAGGATTTTAAGAGAGAATTTCTTTTTCATGTCAGCAATAACTTGGAGCAGCTGACTTTCCCTTCCAAAGAGCGACCGCATTTAGGAAAATAAATTAACTTCTCAACATGAACTCTTGCAACAGTAAGAAATTTTTCTGTAGAAAAGGGAATACGCGTGTCTACCTACACTGATAAGTGCAAGTAAAGTAAAACAAATAGCTTTTTTATGTACATAAGTAAATCGTAGGTCTTACCAGATCATTTCCAATTTGCCATATCAGAAAATCAATGCTGTAAAACACAAATGAACCAAGTCAAAGCCAAGGAATAAAAAAGGATAACCTTAACCTTCACTTGTCAACGCCAATAGACAAGCTTACTGGAATTTTTGTTAACGTTAACTTTTCGGTTTCAGTAAATGTGAGATCCATCCGCCCTACTTGCGTTTCTTAAAGAAATAAAATAAAAAATTACATTTACGTTCTCTGTTTTACTTAACGTCTATCGAGCTTCGTAAATGGTTTCCAATGAGAGGGGTTGTTTTGAATAGTCTGCTATTCCGGTAGATATCACTTTTGAAGCTGAAATTTTTGACTTTTAACAAGTAAAAGCTATGCCAGGTCTATAAATGGAACGATACATGAAATTCACTATAGAAATATCATCGAAAAATCATCTTGACATTTCCACCTCGACGGCTAAGTCAATAAGCAAAACTGTCGCATCTGGAGTACGAAAAACCCCAAATTTATTGTTTGATTCGGTTTATGGTTGGGCGGGTTCATTGGGCTTTACTTTTAGAAAGCGAACGGATAACTCTATTAATTATTTGTCATGGTACTGATCTCGTCAACGTTTACTTTCAACCAAACAGCACTACGTGCCACACAAGCAGCCAAACCTTCAATCTTTTAAGGGGATACATAGGTCTTGAAACTTCAAAAATTCATTTTTTTGATAATATTTTGTATTAAAGTACAAAGTGTCAGGAATATTTTCCCCAAGTTTCAAGTCGATCGAGACGGAACTGTAGAAATTAGAGAGTTTTGTAACCCGCCGTCTGTTATGGCTTGACCGATGGTGAAACTTTAAACGCGTTTTTCTTAAAACCATTTTATCGAAATTGGTAGTCAAAATTTCTCAATAACTATTGAAGCGATTGTGTTCAAATTTTCCACACTTCTTTAAAGCATGTTTTTGTAGTAATTGATTTCAACTCATTTTACAAGCCAGGCCTAATTTTATGAAAAAATAAACGCTACACAAAATTCAATTCATATTTTTTTAATTTTTCTTCGTTCAGGGGCAAGAAAAAAAAAATTTGAAAAAATTTGGTTTTGTGGTTTCAGATAAAAATTGAAAAGTTATCATGACCACCGCGAAAGCAGTTTCTTGTGGACGGTCTATTTCACGGCATTGCCAACGCCTTAACTTATACTATTTTTCATTCAAATTTTCATCGAATTTTGTCCACATATTGTACTTTTATATGTAAACAAAATAAATTGTATACTTTATTTAGTATCTTTAAAAAAATAAAGAAAATAAGCTTTGTTTTGTCTTCAAGACCAATGTAACCCCTTAAGGGAAAAGTTTCTTTGGATATCAAAATAACATGTCTTATTGGAAATCCCGGTTTGAGTAAACATTAGATCTACCTTACGCTTTGTGGCAATGTTGCCAATTTTTCTACTTTTTTAATTTTAAGTTACTCATATTTTGAACAAATATTATTTACTATTAGCATCAACATGTTTTCAAATGTTTTCTCATATTCAGTGTATTGGTTCCAAGGAGGTTATGCAGTTAAGATTCGTTTACTACTTTTAAGTGTGAGCACTATCAATTGTTAAGGTTTTTTCTTTGGACCGGTACGATGGTTCCAATTTCGATAAAAAAAAAAATGAAACATACTTATACAAATACATACATATTTTTACATATAATGAATTTTTTTATTTTATAAACAAAGAAAAAATATATATCTAATGGTGTTCAACAAAAAAATAAAAATAATTACTAAATGGAGTACAAAGAAAATGCTTCCTGCAAATACTTATTAATTAACTGTGCTTTTGGCAGCAACACTGTTAAGCGCAATCTGCTGCTTGTATGGCAAATGACAAATCGAACCCCTTTAAAAGCTACAAGGAAGGAAGGATTTACATTATTTATGCTTTACTATTGTGCTATACATAATTTAAAATGTTTTTATGATTAATTAGCAAATTAAAAAAAAAAAAAAAGAATTGTATCGCTAACCCTTGTAGATAGTTACTTACAAAATGCAACAATGCAAACGCATCGTCCGAGAAAAAGAAAAAATCTGAACAACTCTGCTTTTGGTAAATATTGCACCCAACCCGCCCCTCCATTCCTCTGCTTTGCAGCTTAACTCACTTACTTTCTCAGAGAACATATTTCTAATTTTGCTTTTCCTTCTTCTTTAGATTTGTTTTGTTACGTTTCTGACTTAATTTCATTTTCCAATTTAATTTTCTTTGTAAATAAAAACTAAATAACTTTTCCTTGTTATCTCAAACACGCACGCTTACACACCTACACGCAAAGCAAAACAAAATCCTTCCTACCTTATCCTTCCACCTATAAAAATTCCCATATTTACCACTTTTCTCACGTTGTTTTTGTTGCTTTTATTTTTGTACATTTTTGTTTTCGTTTGTTTCCTTTTTATCTTTAATTAACTTGAAAATCATTTCGGCTACGCGTGCTACCCACATCGTGTTCGAATCCACCGTAAATTTTTCGATGCGACGCACGTCCAACCCCACCATTAGGAAAAACGTGTAGCAACGCATAGCAGATCTCCCGAGCGCCAGCGTCGTGCGTCGTCGGCAATTCTGCCCACCTGTCCGCTTGAGTTTCTACAACAACGCGAAGGGCAAGAAACCCAGCAACATAATTTGTTGTTGCAACAGGCTGTGCAGGCACAGTTAAAAAGCCTTCAGCAGCAGCAGCACCAACAACAGCAGCAGCAGCGTGAAAATCTCGAGCAAAACCGCAAATACCAAAGCAAAACAAGTTGGTTTACATCCGCCTCGCATGCCGCACAACCCACCCAACTTACGTCCGCACAAACTGCGCAACGCCTTGCCGCCGCTGCCGATCTTGAGCTTGCACAGACCACCGCCACCGCAACGGCAACCATACAGCGTTTGCTGCAGCAACAGCAACAATTTCTACTCTCAGCCACAGATAATTTTCAGCGACCTCTAACACCTGTCGAAGCAAAAGCGGCTAAATATGCGGCTTACGACATCAGTGCAACCAACAAACAGCTGAGCTCTGCGGTCAGTTGTGGAGCACAAGGCGGTGGCGTCGCCTCAAGCGGTGGTAGTTTGCGCAAAAGTGGCCGTTTCCGTTCAAATTGGCTCTTTCAATTCGATTGGTTGCAATATGACGAGATCGCCAACACAATGTTCTGCAAGTTCTGCCGGAAGTGGTCCAACGATTTACCGGATATACGCACCTCTTTTGTAGAGGGTAATTCCAATTTTCGACTGGAGATTGTCAATCATCATAATAAATGTAAATCGCATCGTTTGTGTTATGAGCGTGAGCTTTTGGAGGTGGATAAGTTGCAATCGGGTGGTAAAGAAGCTGCCAGCGGAGGTGGAGGAGGAGGCAGTGGCGGAACTGCCAATCAAAGTAGCGCGGTTGGCCTTCGCAGCATGTCTGTGGATAGTGAAATTGGCGCCATTCTACGCGAGACAATGACCAAACGCAAGGGCGCACCGGAAGTGATTACGATAAATGTGGGCGAGGATAGTGTTTGAAGGAGCAGTGAAGTCATCAAGGCCCGCACCGCACAATCGCAACAACTATACAAGATCTCCCACTTTTTGGTTACTTTTTTAGTATTAAATTGTTAATTTAAAAGTTTTCCTTAAATTTGAAAATTTCCTTTTAAATTATAAAAAAATATAATTTTGCAAAATTCAAGTTATTTTTTTTTGGATATGGCTAATGTGCAAGCACTAATTAGTTAATAAGCGTATGAAGCATTTTCTTTGTTAAGTTGAACACCAAAACTTACCAGTTACCTAAAGTTAAGTATGTAGAAGAAGTTAAATATACTATGTTGAAAGGAATGAAAATAAAAAATGGACGAAATCAAAAATATATCAACTGGATTCTATAATCTTCTTTAAATTTTAGAAGTTTAATGTTTTTGATGAACTAACTGTAATTTTTTATAAAAGAAAAAAAGACAGAGTATGTATTTTAACGTTCTCAACTCACCAATTTCAATAATTTATATTTCCACACTGTTCGATTTGCACACTGAAATTTCTTAATATTTCCAGAAAAGCTCAGAAACTATAAAAGCTCATCCCAAAAGAGAGTTAAGCTTTTCGAACAGTTTGAACCGATATGAGCCTAGTAAAACCGAGCTATTTCACGATGCTCCCAAATAATTTTTTTACTAATTTGAAGCTCATAAGTTTTTAACAGCTTTTTCGGAAAAGCTTTTGATAAAGAATGAGTTAAAACCTTAAGAAAATTCTTCAGAATTTGAAGCGCTGTGAAAAATGAGCATGAAATAGAAAGAAAAAAGCTTTGAAACAGAGTTTTTCAATCCTTTAGTAAAGCTTAGAATCTTTCAGATAATTCACGTAATAACGTTGTGAACATAATATAATATATAAGAGAAAGTAGCTTTTGAAGAATAAAAACAATAATAAAACTAATAATAGCAATATCAAAATAAAAGAGAAATAAGAAAGAATCCTATTTCTCTCTCTAAAGTAAACTAAGTAAACCTCATGAAAGATTTTCTTGTGAGAGCTTTTTACTTGTGAGGCTAAGATAAAAATAAGCTCAACAGTTTTAATAGCTTTGACATAAACGTATTCAATTCAATTGTCTACACGCTTTAAAGTGTATCTTCTAGAGTTTTAATTCCACAAATGTTGTTTGTAAAAAATTAAATAAGCTTTAAGCTGCGGAAAATTACCAAGCCGAGAAAATATTGAATCTATTAAAAGTTCTAGATAACAAATATATTGTAAAAAAAAATATTAAAAAGTGGGATGGCAAATTTTCATAAAGCTTTTTAAACCGTCAATAAAAGATTTTTCCCGTATTTCCAGTGTGTGAAATTAATCTGATTAAAATAATTTTTTCCAAACCGGTTTTATTTTAAACATTTCTTTAGAAAGCCTGAAATAATACTCTTTTGAGCTGAAAGCCTTGGCAGCTGGTGCTCGTCTTAATCATAAGATTTTATATTTTTTTTTTGTTTTCGTACTTTCCGCAAGTGAACATTTCTTCTGATTAACTGCTAAGTTTACCTTCATTAAAATTTTGAAAGTTTCAGTCAACATCAAAATTAAGTAAGTTATTGCACAATATGTTTGAACTTCATAAAGCTCTTGTAGCTTTAAGCTTACTGAAAATTATTTCCAAATTGAAGTTTTCTAAGAGAATGTATTGACTTATGAGAGCGAGAGTTTATCTCTGAGCGAATTAAAATGTTTAAAAATATTTTTTTTCTTTTGTTGTAGTGTAGCTTTTTCTTAAATAGTACTTTTAAATTGCCAGGAACAACAACTATACGAGAAAGTGCAAATTTAATTTTCATTTATAGTTTAGTTAGGATTAAGGAAAATAAAAACCTGTTAACCATGTTTATATGTAATATAGTATTTAAGTACATTTTGAAATCTAAAATACAACACTCCTATAACCATCTCACAGCCCGGTGCACTGAAGCTACACTCTGAGGAGATGTCCCAATTGTTATCCTCACATGGCCTACAGCAGGATAATCGGGAGGATCAAAATGATGGCAAACAATTAACTCTAGATCAGTCGGATAATATTGATGGTGAGTACCAAGAATACCAATTTCGCTTATTTGTTTGTGTTTTTTTTTTTTTTGCTTCTCCACACAACACTCTTTTTTTAATATATATATTTATATATCTCTCTTTGAATTATCAATCGCTCTTGCTCATGCAGTTGAGGCTTTACTGTACCATATATTTATACATATATACCAAACTCAACTATATACTTAGAAAGTTTCATATCCCTCCTTTAGTAAAAGAAAAATTTACATTCATACATACATATATATTTTTTAAACTGACATTTGAAATTAAATACCACAGGCTTTTATAGTTTGCAAAAAATATATATAAAAAAAATCCACTATTAAAAAAAACGAATATTTATATAAAAAATTAACATTCCGTTGCGTTTCAAAAAAATATATATTATTTGAAATTTATAGTTGAATGTATGTAAAAAGTAAGAAACAGCGTTTTATATCCATTTTAATTTGTAGTACCTACTTATGTATAATAACAAAATAGTAATTAATTTGTTTTACCTTTTTTGCGTTAAACATTGTTTGTTTGTTTATTAGTTAATAGACAAGCTGATTTTTGGTTTCAGTTTTTAGCATATGATAATATATACTACATATATATAATATTGGCATTTAGTTTAAATTTTTTTTGTTTAAATACTAATATTTTTTCGAAAAACCAATAAAAAAATAGTGTAAAAAGTGTTAAACAAGCGATAAACGAAAGTAGATCAAACAAAACAGAAGAAAAAGAAAACAACTTACCGAAGAGAACATAATATAAGAAAGGTGTCTTACGAAGGACAGAAATATACTTGAAATGAAAAATGTGCACAAATTAGATATTTTAGAAAAAGCTGCAAAAATATATAACTTCTTTCTCAAATTTTAAAAATATGAAAAATATAAACTCTACTTCGTGCTGCTGAACGCCCAACACACAAAATTTATTTTTTGCTTAAAAATACAAACATACATGGAAAACATAAAAATCCCCAAAAAAACAAAAAAGCCAATAACAAAAAAGTTTAATGAAAATGCAATTGAAATGTAAAAATTTTTAAACAAAAATTGCCTTTGAAAATAATAAAAAATAATTCACAAACCCGAATTTTGTTTATACATACATACATAACTTTTGTATGTCTTCCAACATTTCCCAAATTTGTACATATATTTCCTCTTTCCTGCTATTCATAAGTACTCGTCCTCGTTTTTTTTACTTACATACGTACATACACATGTTTACTACTTACACAAATACATACACGTATACAATTACAAATCGGGCGCGTATGGTTTATCTCCAGCTTCCTTCTTTTTTTGCTCTTAAGTCTCTTTCTCCTTCTTTTAACTATCTCTTTATTATGTCATTTGTACAAGGTGTGCAGTTTACTTACAACTTTTTAAGAATAATTTTTTAATTAATTAATTAATTACCTAATTACTGGTGTGAAATTAATAACTTAAAATAAATATAAAAGAAACAATGCTATTTATATATATGTATTTATATTATGTAGCATATTTTTAGCGAGCTTTTTGTTAGTTTTTACACTCCTTTGCATGGAAGATTTTCTTTCTTTGTTTGAAAAAAAAAAAAGAAAAAAGTTTAAGTAGAAGTAACAGTAAATGCCGAATTCGTTATACCTATACACGAAGCACTTGCGTTTGGTGCCAGAGATCTGCAATATTAGGGTTTTAGTGGGGTGATTATCATCATTGGAAGCGTAACGTGCTCAGCGACTCATAATTAGTATAAATACGAGGTTTTGGTTTGGTATTAGGCAATTAGTTATCGAGCTATCGTCAACCAAGCAATATTATCGGCAGTGAAAATTGTAATATGGAAAAAATCGTCGAAAACGTGCCTTTCCTTACCAAGTAATCAAAATCAGTTGAGTCTATAATGAAGGAAAACTCATTGGTTTACGGTGAATTGCGTCCAAGAAAAACCCATAATGTGCAAGTGATACAGTTTTTTTTTTTAACAAATGAGGGAATCCCTTTAAGGCGACCCAAAGTCGGGTCAACTCGCCAGTATTTATCCAAAAAATTGAAAAATCGTCATAGACTATGCTTGTCTAAAGAAAAAACAACTTAAAAAAATGGTTGGAATATCCCGCCCGATCATCAAGCTCAGCACAAGATGAGTGCCGGGGGTGCTCAACTCTGCTCAACTCAACTTGCATAAGATGGGCTTCTACATTTTAAATCACCCTTAATATAGCTTAAATCTAGCCACAAGTCATTAGTAGCTGTTTACAAAAATCCCAAAAAACAGAGCTGAGGGTTAAAAAAAAATTTATTACCGATTGTAAAGTCTAGAAGGCAGTTTCAACGTATTTTTGAAGGTAAAGAGAAAACATGTTTTTTTTTTTGGATATATATGAATTGAAAGATCTGAAAAATTTTTCCGTCTTCCGGTTGGAAACATTGAATAGGAAATATAATTTCCCCTACATTTTATTTCTGCATCTTATACCCCAATTCGCCAACAAAAGAAAACGCTCCCTCGTATTCATGCTTAACTACATGTATGAGGTTTGAACATTCTGATGATTTTCTGTAAATCTTACCAACATTTTGCGTAATTTTAACACTAATAAAGTGTGCGTGGGTATGTTCACCGCAATGTATTATAACCCAACCAGCCATTTTGCACACCTTCCAACCATCCCACCAGACTGGAAGGGGGGATATGTAGTCAAAAGTAACGACAAAATGTTGCTATCTTAAAGCGTATTTAAACATTAATCAAGTATGTGTATCAATGGTTTCTACGCTAACTTTCATTTACATGATGCTCCCAATAGAAAGGTTGTATCAGCTGAGTCGCTGTGTTTTTTAGGCTGCTTTGGCTATCAACATACGGTGGCTGATGATAGACAGATCCATATGGCCGTTAATATTTAAAATACCTTGTATATACCTAAATTAAATAGCCCTGATAATTGATCAATTGATCAATGATTAATAAGGCTGACATCGTTGTACGTAAGGGTGGTTAGGAGCTTATACCGTTCGGTAGGCTACTAGGCATTGACGTTCAAAATTGTATAGATTATTGTGAATAGCGCGCGCATGCAGATCTCTGGATCTCTGGCAATGGTCCCGCATTGCTGGCTTCTATTTCATTTCTCTTAAGCGAAAGCTTGAAATTCTCCTTAAGCTCATATTTACGGCGAATATAATGAACTTTATAATTTGATGAAAATCATAAACATCTATTTTACAAATTTATTCTAAATATTTAAATTTCAAATGAGTTGTGTATATTTACTTTTAACGAAATAGTTATTAATTTTTAATTATTAATTTTATTGCAATTTTAAAACAGGTTTTATTTTACTAAAAGATAGAATAACATTTCGATTCATATAATTCAACACCTCTCCTACTAATATCTCATTTTTCGATTTTCTTCTTCGAAATTCAGTGCATAAGCTGAAAAAAGCAAGAATTCTATAACTTGTTTGACTTTATAAACTACTGTTACTTGTGATTAATTAGCTATGGAGTAGTTGCTTTATTATTTTGTTACTGTTTGAGTGCAAACAAATTTTTAAAAAATTTTTTAAAAACTATTTATTCAAATGTCATGTGGTATGTTAGTGTCAGGTTTCGTTTTTAGTTAGGAAAATTGCATTTGAAGTAGATTCTTGTTGGTGCATGTTGAATTGCATGTACTGAATGCGCTGCTAAACACTTTCCAAACTATTTTTAATTAAATTAAGTTAGACTTATTGCACTACAAACGCTATTCACTTTGATTGTTTGATTAATTCATTTCTTATAACATTTAATTATTACAATTATTTATTTTTTATCTATTTTTTTTATTTCTTTTTTATTTTTATTTCTTTATTTATTTATTTTTTACTATTATAATTATTTCTCTACACACATTTTTTTTATTCTATTATTTTTCATATTTTTTGCGATATAATGTTAACAAGCTAAGCTCCCTACCACCTCTAAGCAGCCTCTATTACACTTCATTTATTTCGTTTCATTACTAGAACTACAAATACACACATTTCGAGCAGTTGGAGCATTCATAATCGCTCAAGTTAAAATTTCAATTTTCGTTTTTAAGTAGTCGCTTAACATTTCAATATAATTTATAAGTAAAATTGAAAGGAAAATTCTCAAAAAAAAAATCAAAACTTTTTTGCAAATTATTGGAAAAAACTCGAAATGCTTGAACACCTGCTCGTAAATTTTCGAGCACTGAGTATCATTCTTCAAATGCTCCAGCTGCTTGAAAATGTGCGTAAAGAATCTTGCTATTTTTTTTAAATCTATAATTTTTATGGCAATATTTATAAACTATTCACTCTCTTCCTATAAAAGCGTTTGAAAAAATACACTGTTGTATAACAACAGCCTCAGCGACAACCATTAATAGATTAACGCAGATAACTGTTTTTGTTTTCTCAAAAAACAAAAAAAAACTTAGTGTTATGCTCCAAAATGTAGTACAGGGTTTTCCAATAAGAGGTGATATTTTCATGTTCAAAGAAAACTGGCATTGATCAGTTGTTCTCTTCAATGTAAACACGAAGATATACAATTAATAATGAAAAACAATATCAGCTAAATGGCCGCACTGCTACGCTTAAAGTACCGTATCCTTTTTATGAAATTTGTCATCAAATCACAAAGGGGCTGTTGTATGCCCCACAATAGCTTAACGAATTCCATCTTTGAGGTATTGAATCGACGTTGGCTTGTCGGCGTAGACCTAATCTTTCACGTGGCCCCAAACGCAAACGTCGCAGGGTGTTAAATTACAAGATATCGCTGGCCGAATGATATCACTTCATCGAGAGAGCTTTTCCCATAAAATTCGAATTCGATTCATTGCTTTGTGTCTTTCGTTAGCGCAATTCACTGATTTTCGAAAAGGTAAGATTTAATGAACCTGCCGGACCATAAACCAAACCAAATAGTTGCATGTTGAGAATGGAGAGGCTTTACAATAATAAATATTGGCTTTTCCGAGCCCCAGA